AGTTACGGAAAGTTAATTAACAAACGGAGACGTAACATTATTATTAACGAGTAAATTTCTCTTTTAATTTCAATTGTTATTTATGGAATAGGGCTTACTACTGGGTAGAACTGAAAATAGCCTGTAGCAAATGTTAAGGAAGAAATAAACTAATTTTTTATATCGTTAAATGAGCTGAAAGTCGCATTATTTTCAACAAATAATTTAAATTAACCTTCCCAATAAAAAACACAAAGCAAAATGATTCTCATTTAACAAATTAAACTACACGATTTCTGAACTTTGGATTTAGTTTCTCATTAAAAACAACAACAAAAGAAACTTGAATTATACCTTCACCGACAGATGAAGCAACCTTTAAATAATATATTTTAATTTTTCAGTTAAACCGTTATCTTACAAAATAACCTCAGCAAGCTAGCATCTAAATTCAATCAACGACTCTAGTGGTGACCATGAGATTCAACCTTCAGGAAATGCGTCATTGGTGAATTTAGAGCACCAACACAGTGAAGCCGGCTGGTGGACGATACATTGTAGTTCATTTCAAAGAAATCGATTAGAACCATCGCTCAGTCGAAAATGGTAAGTTTAGTTTGATATATATATTAAAGAGTTATTTATTTCTAGTTATATATATATATATTGGTAGTGATTAAGAGGGCGCTTAATCACCTGAATTTTAAAAAGTGAAGATAGTTTATGATTGTACACGATGGAGTGTTCGACACCATGCGTGTTACTAATGGTACTGTAATATTTGGGGCCTTGGGACGGGATTTTCAAAACGTCCTTCAGAATTTGTACAAGGGCAAGTATGTATGAAACGAACAAAATTTATTTTTAGTATACGTAATTAACATTTTGAATAAGTTGATCTACTATTTATTCTGTTCCTTAATTTCTATGAGAAAAATAATATGTAACGATAGCCCTGATATTAATACAGTTTTATTTAAAATAATTTGCTCTTATCTGTACATAACGGTAACATAAATGATAAATTACATTAGTCTTCTAACTAAATCTAAGTTCTACTAGTACATTACAAAAATAACTCTCCAAAATAAAATGTAATATCCCAGCAGTTTTTTCATGAAATTGGAAAAAGAAAACGCCAAACTTGCAATTTAAATACCTAGCTTAATCATTGAAATGTTACTACGGAAGTTCGTCAGAAAACTGCAAATTGCTAAATAGTAAAATACATTTTTCAGGATTTTATTAGATTAGCTCATTTTACCGATACCAGCAATTTATGTATTCTTGAAATAAAAGTTTACTAAACTTAATAGTATACATGGAGTTAGCAATGTTTTTAGTTGTGTTGCCATTGTAAGTATAGTGTAAGTGTCTCAGAATTTCATAAAGATAAGAATATACATTAGATTTTTTTTATTTTCACCTTATCATGTTAATTCTCATAGGATTTCAATATATTACTTATTTTTTGTTAAATATGTAATTTTTAAAGCCATCTTAAAGACCTAAAACTAAGGTGCAGCTGTAATTGACCTTGAAGTTTAGTTACCAGCCAGAATATTAACTTTATAGTGTTACTGTTTGACTACACTATAAGTAAAGGTACAATCTAGAATGTTAACCCTATAGTCTCACTGTTTGAATATACTGTAAGTATAAGTACAAGCTAGAAAGTATAGGTACAAGCTATTAGTGCCATTAATGGTTTTTTATTCTAAAAACTTTTGTAATATACAAGATACCGGTACACCAATTTTCTGGCACCCTTGGTTCCAGATCCTTGCCGTATTATCCGTTTTGCCGGACCAACAGAGGTCACGTAATAATAATTCAACAATACACCTCTGACCCACAAATTACACTTTGCTTCTTTATATCATAAACAGTTGATGAACCAATACCATATGTATCACACAGTTTCAGCACGGAAACCCCAGGGTCGAGTTGTTTGAACAGTTGTACTTTGTCTTGTATCGATATGGACTTGTGCTTACGGTTGACACAACGACTGTCACTTGGACCTTGCATAGAAGCCATAGCTAGTGTTAAATGTAAGCAAAATAAGCTAAGAATCACACAAAATGGAGGAATCACCACCACCAACTGCAGATGTAAACAATTAACTCTTTTGGGACGGAGGCACATGATGCCATCTTTAAATTCTGTCTGTTGACATAAATAAAAATTTAATGAAACAACTTTCATTAAATTTGTTTTTCAGAAAAATTTTTATTTTCAATTACGTTATATTTTGAATTTTCATACACTATTATCAACATTCTGTGTTGTAAAACATTGAAAAAAAATCAAAAGTAAATATTTGTATCTTGTTAAACTACATATTCTCGACAACATTCATGAAAAAATTCAAGCAATTTGATCCACTAGTTTAATATTTATAAGAAACTTTTGATGAGAGTGACGTACCTACTTAATGTAAGTAGCCCGTACCAAAAGAGCACGCACCACACGCAATGCCATCTGTGGCCGCCTATTGAACTAGTCTGGCGGTTGCAGAAATTTAAAGTGCGATCTAGTAATTTTCTCCAGATTAAAGGAGATGCATCAGTTGCTGGTGGTGTACCGTACATTTTACAAAGTGCCCTCACTTGAGAAACTGACCATATTTACATTAAAGATTTCACAAAGATCCTCTAGGTATTAAAATGTCATGCCAAAAGGGAAGATTTTGTTCAATCTCCTGAATCTCCCTACAGTAGAACTATTTAAACCTAGAATTTTAATGGATTTTCTAGATAGAAAAATTTAAATTCTTTGAAATAAGGAGGATAAACTCCTACTAACCACAACAGAAGTTGGCCTAGGTAATTTTGTTCATAAAATATAGTTAAAACACACTTTCAAAAATATTTTCAGATCTAGGAGCCAGGTGTGCCTAGCCTAACTTCACTACTGTTTGTACTAGGACAGAAATTTCCCAACCTGGGGCACATGTACCCTAAAGGGTACATTTGCACTTCTCAGGGGGTACATAGG